ATTCCTGATACATATGGAAGGAGCACTTTATATGAGTTTCGTAATTAGTTGAGACATGTACAAACTGCACCAAATAATACCTAATTTAAGTTGCTTTTATTTACCTCATTTTCCTTATTAATTTTTTTTGTAATACCATCACCCTTACCAACATTTCATTTCATTTTGGAGAATTTTTTTTAAGATCCCTAATATTAGGGCTGCAAATGAACCAAACTGTTCATAAACAAGCTCAGCTCAGCTCAGCTCGTTAAGGGCTCAGCTTGGTTCGGTTCGGTTTGGTTCATTTTGTAAACGAGTCGAGTTCAAGTTCGAATATTAGGTTCGTTTAGTAAACGAGATGAGCTCAAACTCACATAAACTCGGCTCGTTTATTTTTATTTAAATAATGTAAATAATATTAAAAAAATTAATCGAGCCGAGCTGAGCCGAGCCGAGCCGAGCTCGAGCCTAATTCCTTATCAAGCCGAAATCGAGCTCCATAAACGAGCTCGATAAGTAAATGAGCCAAGCTTGAGCTTAGCAAAGATCGGCTCGACTCGGCTCGGTTCGTTTGTAGCCCTACCTAATATTAAGATTTTATAAGATAAATAACATACAATATTTTCATAGTAGTTAAGATCCCTCAACATTTTCACAGAGAAAATTTGACTCAGCGAAATTTTACTACAAAAAAATACACCTTTAGCTACTAAAAAATTAGTCACCAAAGCCTCATTTTTAGTCGCCGAAAGTCAAAGGCTATTAAAAATTAGTCAGTCGGGGATACCTTGTCAGCGATAGCATTGGCGACTAAAATTTTTTTGGTCACTAATTTACAACTTTTGGCTACTAAAAATTTATTAGTTGTCAAAAGTAACCTTTTGGAGATCAAAATTTAGTCGCCTAAAGTTACTACATAAAAATGAAATTAACTATTGGCGAATAAAAGTTTTAGTCACCAATAAGTTTTTGTTGCAAATGGTACTACATTTAGTGACTAAATATTTTAGTCGCCATTTTATGTCGCATTTAGCCACGAAATATTTTAGTTGCCGTTTACGACTAAACATTTTAGTCGCCGAAGGATGTCATGTTTTTTCATGACTGAAATATTTAGTCGGCAAAGGATTTTTTCCTTATCTTGATTTATTTTGGCTACAAACTCTTTAGTCGGAAAAAAGTCTTTTTTTTTTTTTTGGCTACTAAATATTTAGTCACCAAAAACCTTTACTTGCTTTTTTGACTGCCAAGTCTTTAATCGCCACAAACTTTAGTGTTTTCTTTAATTAATTCCTCCATAACCTATATTTGTTCTATTATTAGTGCAACTTGTATCTTGTATATAAAGAAAACAATACATATACTGGTTATATTATCAACTATTCCACAACCTGCACACATTTCACTTTGTACCATCCAAAAAATTCATATTTAATGTTAAATTACAAATGTAATAAAAATTCCATGCACACCAAGTAAAATCCAACCCAAAAAATGTAATTCAATACAAAAAAGCCGATTATACAAAAAACCATGTTCCCTATGTACAAAAAAGTAATATCCATGATATCATGCCAAAAGGATAATCTATATCACACTAAAAGTAATTTGTACCAGGCCAATAAGTATCTATACGAACAATAGTAATCCGTAGACAAAAAACAATGTCCTCTATAGACCCCCAAAAAAAAAAAATTTGTATCCACAATTTCACGCCAAAAATCATCTGTAAAAAATAAAATAAAATAAATCGTTAGTACCGACCAATCTTCAAGCCAAGAACCATGATGCAAACTGAAATAACTGAATTAAAACCATAATGAGTATATAGAAAGTAAAATTTTACAAAAGCTAAAACTTAAAGTTTCCAAAATGTTTGATTCTACTTCTCGGGACATTTCAAGTTGTAATCTCAAAGCTAGTGTATCTTTGTCAACTGGAATGTCATCCCTTACCCGAGAATGATGGAACTATTGCTATCCAATTCTTCACATATTTTTCAAAGATCTGCAGAACAAGATTATCATTACAGACCAACTCATCGTTTGTATATTTACTCGCCATCACAACAATAGTCTAGGGGGCTACGAGTGTTTGCTTAATAAAACTATATATATATCTATATATCACTAGTAAAGACAAAGCTCACAAAGCAGATTGAAAGCTTGAAATCAACAAGCAAAAAAAAAAAAAAGAAAGAGAAAAAGGAAATAGCTGAGAAAAACTAACCTCATTAAGAAATGATTTCTAGATTGCTCTCACCAATGCTGCCCAATGTTTAGTTGTTTCATAGTAGATATTGGAATCTTCTTTGTAATAAAATCATATCATCCATTAACAACTATATCTATATCCCCCAGATAAATTTAATCAATATTTAAAAAATTAACAACCAATTAAACAAAAGTTAGGAGTTGAAGGCACCTTCATAGATTTATATATAGAAAGGTAAGGTATTGCACTAAAAAGTACTAAAGAATATCATGGAAATGGGAAAAAATTGAAATTTCTCTGAGTCAAGCGAAATTTCTCTGAGCCGGACAAAATTTCTCTGAGTGAAATTTTCTCTTTGAAAATGTTAAGGGAACTTAGCTAATAAAAAAACAATATCTTGGACCTTTTCTACTACACAAAGTTGGAGAGGAATGTTTCACTAATTTTTCATTTCATTTACTTGTATTTTGCTTTGAACATGTGTAATGAATTGTTTATTCGATCAATTACTCTCCCCCTCTCTTATATATATTTAACTAGTTGGTTGTTTATCATGACTTTTGAATAATTTGTCTTTGCTGGTGGAGGAGAGCTAACAAAAGCTCATAATGGGGGTGAAATCAAGATTAATTTACTGGTTACGGTTCTTAAAAAATTAAAATCAAACCAACTTATTAAAATTATGAAATCAATCTTAATCAAACTATTTAAATACAGTCCAGTTTAATTTGGAACTACAGTTTCACATAATCTATTTGTAAGAAAATTTATGTAACATTTAAAAAAAAAAATTAGGTTATCATAAATTTTAAAAATAATAATAACATATCCATCAAACAAACTACTCTCAATATATCAATTTTATTGAGTATTTTATTAATACAAGAGGTATATGTCATTTTTAAAAAATTAATTGTTTTATATATTTTGAAAACTAAAAAAATATATTTACTAGATTAATTTATTTTTTTCCTAAAATAATTTTTTCACAATATTTATAGAAAAAATTATGTTCAACTATTAATCTATTCAAATGAACTCAGTATTTTTTATACACATACTTTCATTCTACTAATAAAATTTTAAATTCTGTCTTTGGTGACACGTGGGGGGCCAACTAGTATACATGAAAGTGGCTAAATATTAAGTTGAGTTTCACACTCCAATTACTAAAAATGTCCTTTCTGCAAATTAATATTGTGCCTGTTTGGTGCAGCTTAAAAGCTGCTTATTTCAGCTTTTAGTTTAATTTAAGCTATTTTGATGTGTTTGGTTTAGCTTAACAATGCAGCTTATAGCTTTTTGTAAGTCAGAAATCAGCTTATTCATTGAGTGGGGCAGGAGATACTTAATTTATAAGTCAAAAATCAACTTATGTTCATAGTTATAAGCTATAAACTGTTAAGGTATAAGCTATAAGTAATTTCCCACAGTTCTACCAAATAGGATGATTATAGCCTACCATTGTAGTGGGCTATTTGGTACGGAAATGATGGCATATGACTTTGTTACATATCAAGCCACGTGGCCTTGGTATAGCAGTGGTCAGCTCCGTTTTTTCTACAAAATATTTCATATAATAAGATACTTATAAATCAAGAATTTATCCATAAAAAAAATAAAAAATAAAAAAATTGATGGATAAATTACGGGTTTATAAGTTTGGATTTGTAGCATTTTTATTCTTATAATATATAATAAATTTTTTTAAAATGTTAGAAATCTACAATTTGGTATAATGATATAGCAAGAGTTTGGCCTTTTATCATTAGATGTGTAATAAATTAAAAGTTGACACCTATTACACCACATCACTGTCGGTCAGAGTTTGGACGAAAATGTTTGTTTTCGATTTCTTCTTTCAAACAGCGTTCACTATCAAGGTGGTCTTGTTTGGGTGAGCAAAAGATTTTATATTATGATTAGCTTCATTCCTAATGACCATGAAGTTGAAGAAGAGCCTTAGGTGAAGATAATGTTAGTTAACAATTAAACAATAACTTGAATGGCTGCTTTGTGTCTAAGATTGCATGTTTTTTATTTGTTTGCTTCGTAGTGTTTTTGTTGTGATTTATATATGGGTTATAGATTTACACTACAAAAAAAATGACTTTTTGCGACGGTAAAATACCGTCGCTAATACTCCTTCTGCCGTCGCTAATACTTTTTGCGACGGCAAAATAACTTTTTGCGACGGCAAGAGGGGGGTCGCAACTGCAGGGGTTGCAAAAGAGTTTTTGCGACGGTAAGTGCCGTCGCTAATGTTTTGCGACGGCATTTTTACCTTTTTGCGACGGTACCGTGCAGTCGCTAATAACGTTTGAAATTTCTTGACTTTTTTGCGACAGTCCTATTTTACCGTCGCTAAAAACGTTATTTGAGACTGCAAAAAACACCGTCGCCAATAGTCTTTTTTTAAAAAAAACACTATTTTTTGCGACAGGTGGTGCCGTCGCAAAAAGTATAAAAAAAAATGAAATTTTCTATTTTTTGCGACAGTGTAATGCCGTCGCAAAAAATATTAAAAAATAATAAAATTTCTATTTTTTGCGACATATAATATCGTCGCAAAAAGTAAACCCTGTAACAAAATTAATAAAAATATTAAAATTTTCTATTTTTTCCGACGGTGGGGCCGTCTCTCTCTAAGAGCTAATTATTTACATTCCATTCACAAAAACATCATAACAGAAAATAAAAATAAAAATTAATCAAACCATCAAATTCAATATTTTACAAAGAACAATTAAACTGTACATGTTCATAAAAGCATATTTAAATTATAAAATTCACCCAAATCCTAAAAAAAAATAAAATAATAAAATAAAATCTAAAATTCACCAATCAGCACATTGGATATTTAAATGCTCTTACAAAAATTAAAAAATTTCCAACAAGATCTCAATTTTGAGCCTATTTCAAAAATCAAGCTGCAAATTCCTTACTTCTAGAATCAGATCTTCCCCTCGGCAAAATTTATCCTTTTGACCTACAAATAAATAGATAACAGTTGCAAATTATAATCTTTTGGAGAAACCAACTATTTAAACACCAGTAATGAAGACAATGAAAACTGTGGAAAGAACACTTACGTTGTCATCAGGAACAACTGCATATCTCTCAATTGGAGAAACCAAAGCTTTCCCTGCTCACAAAAAAAAAAAAATATAATAATAATAATAATAACAATAACAATAACAA